TTCAGGGCTGTCTGAGGATGGATCCCTCAGAGCGTCTGACCTGTGAGCAGCTCCTCCTGCATCCGTACTTTGACAGCCTGAGGGAAAAACACGAGAACACGTCCCGAGAGCAGGATCGTCCCAGCAACAAGAGGACACGGTTTCCTCGCAAACAACTGCCACCAGGGGTGAGAAGCGCGCAGTGTTGAGCCTTACGTAGTACTTCCTGTTGGGGACATTTCACACCGCGCTGCTACAGCCCCAAAGATGTTTCTGCAGCTTATGTTGAACTCTTAATGATGTCGGATATGACAGCCTGACATACTGGGTTAGCTAGCTTGCTAACAGCAGGGCTTTATAATGTTTACAAAATGAATGATTGTCTGCTTCATAAAAAGTAGCTCTTTAGTTTAAAGTTCTTCTATAAGATTTATACTAAGGCAGTGTTTTCCAACGTTGGGGTCGTGACCTTTCTATTTTGAATCTTCTTCCAGTATTTGCCTCAGCTGACTGGCAGCAGCATCTTCCCGGCTCTGGACAACAAGAAATACTACAACAACCTGCGCAGGTTCAACTACCATCTACCCAACATCTAAAAACATCTCTTTAAACTCCTGAACTTCACAAACATCTAAAGAAAAAAACTCTGGCAAGAACACCCAGCTTCCTAAAGCTGTGGAGAGGATTCAAACCTCTGTTCTTATCTTTTTAAACCTTTTCTCCACGAGGCGTTTCTATGACGTGCGTCTGTCCTGTTTCAGCAGGTCGTGACTCAGACAGGTTGGTAGCTGTACGACATTTTCTGATGATTGTTTGTATGTAACTGTAAAAAGACAAGGACGATGTGTCGCTCTGCTCTTAGTGGACAGAAGGTAAAACTACCACGTACTGCCTTGCCCAGTTTTGCCAAATGTATTTTTTTTATACGACGACAGACGACATAAGAGCGACATGTTTCAGTAGATGTGCTTTTATTTTCAGATCAGGACTAGAACTCAGACTAGGACTTTTCTGTCAGATACAAATGACTAATGATCCTTTCTGCAAATATTTATTGACATCAGGAATTGAAGGCGACTCACTTCCAGCACAGTAGCTCTTAGCTGTAATGACACCACACAGTCCTCATCATCTCTGGTGCTAAGGATGTTTTCAGCCATCTCTCTGTTCATCTGACATCATTTGTCTTGTTTTTGTAAAAAAAAAATTATATATATAACTTATATATATGTATATATTTACATATAAATATATACATATATGTATATATGTATGTACTGTGTATATTTATATGTAAATATATACATACATATATGTATATATTTATATATGTATGTATATATTTATATATATGCCAAATTAAGCTAAAGAGAAATGATATGGAAAACTCCTATACCTGAAAACTGTACAAGTTGTTTTTCTCTGTGGATTTAGATACAGACAAAAATGTTAATAAATGGTTTATTGACGACATTATTTAAAAGAAAAAAAGTGGTTACATTTATTGAGGAGGGGGTTTAACGTGCTGAATCATTTATTTTTTCATCCCTTTTTTATACACAGCAGCCTACCTGAAATTAACTGAACCATCGTAGGTTCATTTACACACGTGTTTAGACTGAAGGGATAGTTGAGTATTCTTTTTAAGTGTGATTGAACAAGTTACTAAACCAGCTCAGAAACTAGTGCTCTCTCTCTCTCTTTCTCTCTCTCTCTCTATATATATATAAATATATACATGTCTCCTGTTCATGTTTCAAATTAATTTCTGAAACTAATTTGCTAAATTTACACTGATATTTCACTGTGTTGTAAATGCAGAGTCATTGTAAGCTTTGTACAAAGTATTAAATCCCTCCACACTTCAGTAAACTCAACTAACCCTTGAAGGATCTGCCCTTCAGACAATTACAGGACTGAAAATGTCACTTGATTTCCTGCAGCATTATTTGCATATTTTACGTAAATGTTCTGTACAGTGTGTCCATATATATCAGGCTGTTAAACACATGCAGCCGTCAGTCCAGGTCCAGGTTAATGTCCAGGCCTGGGAGAGCCGTCTGTAGTCTGTCTACCGTGGTCTGTTTGTCCTTGAGTCCTGGCAGATCACTGAGGAACAGACGCTCCAGATTCCTGTAGAGACAACAAACAAATGTTCAATTATCTAACACATTTTCAGCAAACTCAACAGCAAACTATTTGGATTTGATCCTAAATCCTAACTTGAGTTTGTGGAGAGCGATGATGCCCTTGTCTGTCACATTTCCACAGGACACCACCTCCAGCAGGTGTAAACTCTCCTGCAGGTTCTGTAAGGAGCTCAGTTTCTCCAAACAGGTGTCTTCAAGGTAGATGCACTTCTTGAACTGGATTTCATCCAAGTATTTCAAACCATCTACAGAGATTAAGACAAAAAAACACAACATTAGGAAGTGGCTGCAAAACTTCTTTTCATCTTTTGTTTTATTAATTGTCACTGATGAAAAACGAAGCCACTGTGGTGGACACAAACCATGGAGTTTGTAGTGCTACAAAAACCAGGTCAGAGAGGCAGCACTATCACAGTGTTCCCGGTGTAAAACATCCCGGTCACTTGCGTCACTTTTTGATCATCAGACTTGGAAATGCACTTTCACCCTCATCTTTCCTTTCTTGTTAACACAGAGGCTTATCGCGTTCAGGTCAATGGCCAAAGTCAAGCTCATGTTAACATAGTTCATGCAACATTTACACTTTCTGATCGTGGCCTAAATATTTAATTTGGCTTTTTATTAAGAGTCCTGCTCATCTGTTGAGCCAACATTTGAGCTCTGCTGATAACTGTTGGATCGATTCCTTTGAAGATGTGCAAACATTCACTGGACAGAGAGTTAAATCAGATAACTGGATATTGGATACTGAGACACTAACCCAGGTGATCAAAACCCCTGTACATGATGCAGGAGTCGGTGGCGTCAATCGCCACGATCTTGTGTCTGTCCAGAGGCCCGGTTGGCAGGGCGTTGTAGTCTTGATGCCAGCGATCCAAACCTTGAAACCTCACTTTGGCACCACATCGCAGCAGCCACTCTGCTGCAGCTCGATCTGGACCCACAGTCTTGATCCTGTCATAGTCCACTCTGAGTGAGGACAACAAACATTCTCAGTACAGTAGGCACACACTGACGACATGCTTACTGCCGGCAGGTCAATGGAAAAAAGGAGGGCTCAAAACAAAAAAAGACTAAATGAAAATTAGAACAGTAGGCCAGCTATCCAAAATATTTGCAGCAGTTTTTGTACCTGCTGTGAATATTTACATTTTTACAAAAATGTGAATAAGTAGGATTATGAAGAGAGGTTAAAAAAAATTGCCAAAACAACAGTGAGCAATTCATTTGACTGGGAATTTTATAACAAGTCCAAGGTTGGACTGAGAGCTACAGCTACTGTAGTCAACCAGGAGAAGATGCTACAGTGGTGAGCAGGGGATCACATGTTCACAGGTTTAAAAAAACCCAAAGAATAACGACCACTCTGGGGAACCTGTGAAGATGCTACGCTGCCGTGTTTCCAGTATTAAATCACTTAAATCTGAGGGTGAGGGTGGAAGACACAACTAAGAAGTAAATTAGCAAATGTAAGATCTCTCTGTCTTCAATACAGCTCGAGTTGAAAAACAAAACAACAAAATATGGAGCAAAACCAGTTACTAATTCAACCAGCAGGTTTAAATTCACTGACTTGCACTCATGTCCTAATACATAAACAAGGACGTTGGATACACTAAAGCAGTTCCTATAATATGCCGAGTGCACATGTGTCGGTAATCAAACGTCAACTCACTTGTTGAAAACTGCATTCAGCCAAGCCCAGAACTGTCTGCGGCCTGTCTCCCTCTGACTCACTGCTGTCTGTATCGCCTTTGTTAAGAACTTCATATTTCTGCTTCGTGACACAGAATAAACAGTTACTTTGACTGTTAAAAACTATTACATTCAGTACAAAACATCAAATGCGAGCATACATGTTAACCTTCCTCAGGAGGACGGGACTGTTTACATTTCGGAGGTGGCGATTACTGCGACCTATGAACTTGTGACGTTGCTTCAGTATCTTCGCCTCCTATTGGCCCTACGGGCTGACGTAGACGCGCTGCGTATCGAGAGCGAGTAGGCGTGGACCCATCTCTGCTTTCACTATCGGAGCGCTACGAGATGGAGGAGGCAACAGTAGCAGGAGGAGCAGCAGCAGGAGGCGGAGGGAGAGGAAACGACACACAGAGGGAGAGGGGGAGGTTGGCTGACATCTGGGTGTTGGAGGAAAGAGTCTGAAGTTGTTTTTAAAACAAATAGAACTAAAACCAAAGTCAAACACAATGTTTCGGATACTGAGTCGATCTTCGTTCAAAGTCGTAGCTCAGACGACGCTGCTGAAGGACGTAGCCACAATAAGACAAGTCCACAGGTAAGAGGGGGGACGGCTGCAGCTCACGGCCGCGGTTTCAAGATTATATGAGGATTTTTACTATTAAAACATTAACATAATAAAAGTGAAGTTTTGAACCCCAAAACTCAAAACGCGAGCTGCATGCAATGGCCAACTCTAACGTGACCTCTGTTACTTCGGAGAGTTCGCTGTTGTCACTGGTGTCAAGATTACATAACGTGTATATCAGCGTTCATACTTGTTTTTAATAGCCGTGAGGACCTCCTTTCAAAACCCGGTTTTTGGGGACATTTTGACCACTTTTATATATCTCTTTTATATCTTTGCATTATGGTGGTGGCTTTAGGACATCTTAAAAAGACTTAATAACCCGAGGCCGGATATTTTTTTTAAGAGATCGCCTTACAAAGCGAAAAAAAGTTGAATTTAAAAATGTGTGTCTCGTTTAAATGATGGTGTAGCAATACCATCATGATGTTCATTAGATTTCCCTGATTCTTTTCTGGACCAGGTAATCCTAAATGAAACCCAACTATTTAATACCTGTTAAAAAGTGTTTTTCTTTGCTCAGAATAGCGGTCAAATTAGAAGTTCCATTAGTCATTAAAGAATGATTTCGTCTAATCGTAAGCATATTGTAGCTATTTTTTGTAAATCGATGTATTTGTTCAAGTACCACCACTTGCTTTTTGCATGGATCACTGCAGGCAGTGTCTTTCTTTGGTGGTCTTTACCGCCCATGACTCTACCTCTTCAGTTAGGCACAGGTTTATATGCCAGATGCTCTTTCTGTCCCAAGAAAATTCAGGCTGGGGTATTGTATACACAACATATGTGTTTTATCCATTGACACTTAGACACAAAGCTGGACTTTAACCCCTGGATTATAAATCTTTCTCAGCATTCAATAATTTAAATATTTAACTACACAGCATGGATACAATCTGATATCTGAGCATGTGGTTTTTTTTATCTTCTGGAGAGAGATTAGATTTCAGTCATTTCAAATGACAGCTCAGAACATATGTCTAACAAGAATCAAAATTCAGGTTAAAAAAACGCAAAATTAGTTTTCTTTGTTTTATGAACTAATATAAGATGTGTTTGGTCATGTTAGTAGAAACCTTTACCAGAAAAGATTTTAATTTTTGTAATGTTTTTTTTGCAGCAGAACGTTTGTTTAAAGACATT